AAGTAAAATACAAGTAAAAATAAAACAGATTGAAAAAATATAAATACAATAAAAATTAAAAAGTTTAGAGGTTCCAAGCCAAGTTAATTCACGACGTTTCGATTGTAAGGTATCCACAATCGTCTTCGGGTGATGACTGGACCGATTCCTCTGTGAGCTGACTATTTATAGGTCATTTGAGTACTTTCACTTATCTCTGCTTTCCTTTTTCCGCTTCACTGGTTTAGTGGGAGATGACTGTTTTGCGGGAGTTGGCCATTTTTCGCTTGATTATTGGTTTCCATATGCTGTGTACCTCTACGCTAGCTTGGCTGAATACATTGTTGGATAGCATGTATGCGGCTTCTTTCAATTTCCTCCTAAACCAATGTTCCTCTTTGTGTATGATCTCAGCTTGGGACCATTCGATGTTATGTTGATGGGTCCAAACATGCTCTGCTATTCCTGATTTGCTGGTTTCCCCTCACTGTGTGAGGGGAAACCAGCTCGCTAGGAGCTGAAAACTCCGTGACAAATATCATTTTGCTCTGGTGGTCGAGAAGGACTACATCTGGCTTATTAGCTTGTATGAGCCTGAGGGTGGGGAACGAATAGTTCCAATAAATTCGGCACTTCTCGTTCCCCACAACGGATTCAATATCCCCCGGAGCGTAGGGCAACACCGGTGTCTCGTCAATACCGTAAGAGTGCTGTAGATGGTAATATAGCACTCTTAAGGCCGCGTTATGTCGATGGATATAGGCCGAGACCGCATATGCTGGACATGCTGATAGCAAGTGCATTTGGATCTCGGGCGCCTCGCTGCACGCCCTGCACCTTGTGTCAGGAGCCTCTATATCCATCACGCAACTGCGGTAGACCAAGGTGTTGAAGACACCATCCTGGCAAGCCATGATGAACCCCTCAGTTTTCGACTTCAGCCCACTCGACTTGAGAAAAGCGAATGTCAAGCGCTTTGATAAGCCCAACGCATTGGCTTATCCTTGTGTTTCCGCAGAAGTAAGATGATCTTTGGGGATTTTATCTGAGCTTTTTGCTGAACGAGTTCCAACTCGGTGACAGAGCTGTGGTCACCCCGTTCAGTGTCGAAAATCATTATTATTATCATTATTATCATTGTTAAAGTTCCATTTATTAGTAGTAAATATAGTATGAATTGTTATCAGTTTTATTGAAACTATGCGTTTTAATTACTGCTGTGGAAAGCTTTTTCAACATTTGATAGCTACTATTGAACAATTTCTTTCTGTTTTATCGCCGCGTCGTCCAAAGCCTGCTTGATCAAAGTGTGCGTTTCAAAGTCTACATGAAAAAACCTAAACACCCTGTATTTTAAAGATGACTGTATCAAAACATCAAGTGTGCTAATTTTTGAAAAGGTAATTTTGATCTCTATTGAAATATGCAGGAATATACAGGTTGTCTCATTGAAAAAATTGTTTTCCATCAATTACTATTGATATCTCCTTAGAAAAATTAAGTTTTTTTACACCATGGAATGTTTTCATGGAAACAAAAAATTTTTGACAGGAAAAAAAGTATAGCAAATTTTCGAAAAACATGCCGTAACTCAGAAACGATGATAGATATCGATATGCGGTTTTCACCAATAAGTTTGTCATAAAATTTTATTCACAAACACAGCCATGAGTTTTCATCTTATCTAGTTTAAAAACAGAAGTTTTTTTAAAGGGTCTAATTTGGCCTACTCTGTACATGATGAAAAATATAACTTTTCCAGGGCCCATGTTCACAAACTCTGAAACAATGAAGGTATTAACTCTTCTGAAAACTATACAGTCGGTTTGGCTGTATCCAAAAGAAATTCATTTTGAATAAAATATGTTGAAGATGTGGATACGGGACTAGTTATTTTCTCTGCAAATATATGATATGAGTATCAAATGAGAGATTTGAGAATTCGAAAAATAAATTGACGTCATCCAATATATGTGGCAGACCATCCAAAGTGGCGGAAATAACTATCATTTTTATGCAGTCCCTTGATATGGATACTTGAATAATTATAAGATTACTTGAAATGTGTTCAGTCCAAAATGTATAAAAAACTCATGATTTTATCAAATTGAACGGTTTGCCGAAAATAATATGCGAAATAAAATAACTTTACTCTAAATCCGAAATAGCAAAATCCCAAAAATGGTTTTTGATTAGTATTCGATCATTTTATACACTTTGCCCCTCGATACCTATTTTTGAACGACTACGAGTACATTCATCATTAAACCGTATATGCATCAAAGAAAATTTCAAGGTAGGTATCAAATCCGATAAATTATCCGGATACGAAGTACTTTCCGTAATTGGTCTTTTTAAAACTTCCCGAACTCTAATAGAATTTTCCTGTCTCTTGGCTTAGTTCTTGTTTCTTTTTCATCTTTTATTCACTGGGATTCAACTCAATAATACTTAAGGAATTTACTTTGACGTGAAGGAGAACTCTGGTATTTATCTAGCTTTACGTTTGTGAAAAATGTGAATTGAATCAAAGAGAAACAACACAACTGATGAACGAAATGTAACAATGCGTTATTTTCATCTGCAAAACTACAGAGATGGAATTTGGTTGGATAATAGAGGAATTCGAATGTGTTATTTTCGTTTCGTGGATTTGGAGATCTGAAAAACGGTAAGAGTTTGTTATTACCCGACTTTTCAATCTATACCAGTGGTGATAACTTCGTACATGATAGCAATCCTTATGCGTAGCAATTCCTTATGTTTTTATTTCCCGTGCATTATTTCTACGAGCGGTGGATGTAATAAGTTTTATCGTCAAAGTTTTATCGCCAAATTAATATCGTCATTTTACCATTCAGTAAAAGTCAGACAATTAATCATTTCACCTATCCTTGGATTTATAGTTACTCATAATTTGTTCAGAGTCATACATGATTTGACGAGGGAATACTGAATAATATCATTTACTTTCCAGTACTTTCCAGAAACTTTCACAGAGTATTTTCCATACTTGTTCTTCCTTGTACACTGTTTGGAAATTTGAAATTTTGACAACTCATATGCAATCATTCTGCAATGCATCAATTTTTATGAAGAATAACATTTTCTGACAAATCGATAGTACAAAGTTTCCGAATGGTGTAAAATTTTAAAACTCACTGCATATGAACGCAACATCATTGGAGTAGTAGACTCTCATTTTATTTACTTGTTACATCGAAACAACAAACTGGCAAAAAGCCAGCTTTGTAGAAATATGTGCAAATGTTCTGTTGCTCCATCCCAGGCTACAGTTCTGACAGATACTACTTGAATTTACACCAAATTAAAGCAAATCAGTCAAAAAATCAAACATCTTATGTATTTAGTATATAATACCTGCCAAAGGAATCAGTTGCTAATTGCACTACTACAAGAAACTTGGTGCAAATTTTTTTTGAAGGGACACGAATGAAAAAATACTGAAATGAAAAACAGTAGGTACATAGTTCAAAAATGTTATTTTATATTTAAAGATTTTTCATAGTTCTCAAAATAAAAACAGAATAATTTTGGCAAATATTCATTCACACAAAGGCATTCCTCAAATTTTATCCTTTGAAGGGAAAATTCATTTTCTTGACCACTGTCAACAAACAGGTCGCAGTGATCCAAGCCTGATAAGGTCAATATAAAATATCTATGATATTTTTTAAATTAATATTTTTTCCATGAATGGTACTTTTCCACTCGAAACAGGACGACTGGAAATCCCTTTTCGGCCATATTCTGGAAATCAGTTTCTCATTTACTGGCGTTGATCTTTTCAAAATTTCTGAAGAATTGGAGGACGTTATTCTCTTTGACCGCTCTACGTGCCTTTTTTTATGAAGTTTGACATCTCGTATCCTTTTCTCCAATTTTCTTGCATTTTCTAATGAAATTGAAACCTTGTTGATAAGATGCAAATCCTGAAGTTTTCTCAGTATAACGATGTGTAAATAATCATTGGCCTATTTTATTTCAATTGGAAGGAATATATCATTTATTTTTCTTGTGTCTTTAACAATATTGATTACCAGTTTTCAAAAGAAATCACTTCTGATTGAAAGTTATTACTTTTGAGGATTTCACTAAAAACATTATAATTATTATCATTAAGAGTTTTAGATGAAACCTCAATTTGTGCTCTATCTATTTTGACTTCTAAATTTTTATTCAGTATCATTCTTTGTCTATTAAGATTGTCTGAGGTGCACTTTTACTTTTTCAAAGGATCGGGTTCACTGAAGTTTATTTCTTCAAATGGCTTATTCATCACCATTCTTTCTGAACCCGTTCCCCATGTTCTTGGTTGGGATATAGAGACAGAATCACTCTCACCAAAATAAATGAAAGATTTTTCTACCCATATGAAGTCCAAGATTTGATATAAGATAGCAGATATATGTTTGCATCTGCCAGCAAAACCTCCCATACATGAACGAGAAGTCTTTTGTTCATTACCAACTTCCCCATTAACTTCTTCTTCATAGCTGCATCAACTTTTGATTTAATGATACAGTGATCTTGTGCAAAATGCAAAACTATATGTTTTACCTTCACAGCAAAAATAAGCACACAGCAAGCACATCTACAAATCTACAAAGACAAAATACAAGACCAAAATACAAAACCAAAAATGAAAATGCAAACTCGGAAACGGAAAGATAGGTTATTTATTAGCAAATGTCAAATTGTCAAATGTCATTTGTCATTATTTCACCGCAGTTGGCAACAATAGGGTCGCATCACTTTATTAAGGTCAATTCTCATCACAACAAAAGTCGGTTAGTATTTTGACATTTGGTTCACCAGTTTTGAGAAAACCGTGTTTCATATTTAACCAGTTACCACATTTCTGGTTACTTTTAGAATACATTTGAATTCAAATGACGTCATCGGTAGTCAACATAAAGTCTTATGTTCTAAGATAGGGCCTATCAGAATTTCACCTCCGTTGCTACATTTCGCTTTTGTTGCCAACTGTTCATTTTTTGTGGTTATGGTATGATTTTCGAATATCAATTTAGATAAGAGTTTAGAGGTCATAGGACGTCCTGATCGACTTTACCCTCGTCCGATTTCGAGTCAGCTCTCATCCTCATATTCTTATTCAAGTTATCTGAAGAACTTTTATTTGAATTCAGATACATATATCTCATTGGGCGATTCATTCTTTTTGCATATTAACCGATTCAATATGGTAAGTTGCAATAATATTTCATTGTTAAAAATCGAAATTGAGTTTTACTTCATTGAAGGAAAGTTGATTATGTAACATTTAGACAAAAATGTACTGATTTAACATCAACCTTGCCTTCTAAAGTTGATATAATTAATTCAAATTGATTATATTATTGTAAAACCCCTCGACCATTTTTAATTGAAGAATAATTTCATTTGGGCTTTCATCCAGTACTGAAGAAGAAGAATGATGTTAATGATGAAGTAAAAATCTCAACTAGAAAGTTGAAGAATCTCTATGAGTTGAAAAAAAATAGCCTGGCTTAGAAGCTATTTGTGAGTCAAAAAAAACAAAAACATTTTGAATTATCCTGATGGTTTTTTACCCATCATTTTTTTAAGAGTACTTTCAAAATAAAATTGACAACTCCTCAGAAAAGCTTTGAAAATCGTTTCTGAGTTATCTAATTGAAATGTAAACAATCTGAAGGAGACATAGAATTGGTCTATATTTTATTTGCTTCTTGGTCAAAATATGATCTAAGCTAGATTTTCAATTGACAGATATTTATGTGGGTTTATTTATAAGCAATACAAATCATCCTCGCTCAGGTTATTATAATATTCATCACTGATTGAATCATTAGAGAGAATGTTGGTATGTAAATCACCTACAATGATAACATTTTTTCCAGTGAAAGTAGAGAGGAATTGTTCAAATGTCGAATTGAAGATTTTGGCAGATCTAGATGGAGGTCTATACAGCAATTATATTGAATAATTTAGACATATTGAAGCAAATTTGAATAACTTTCAATTCTCCAATCCTCAAAATATTGTGGTACAATTCAAATTTCTTATTCACATATAAAACAACTATATCATTTGAAGTAAACTCTCTTTAAGACCAAACTGACTAGTATTATGTCATCCGTGATTGAAGTAATTGACTGGAATTTTATCACTGTATATTTTCACATCAATATATGAATCAATATATTTTTTTTTCTTTAGTCTGAACCTATCAAAGTAGTTGTAACAGGAGCAGCAGGGCAGATTGCTTATTCGCTTCTCTATATGATTGCGAAGGGTGATGTTTTTGGCCCCAACCAACCACTCATTCTCTACCTTCTGGATATTCCCCCAATGATGGGAGTCTTGGAAGGAGTTGTAATGGAATTGGCAGACTGTGCTATCCCTCTTCTTCATGGCGTTATTCCCACTGATGATCCAGTTGTGGCCTTCACAGATGTTTCGGCAGCCTTTCTGGTAGGAGCTATGCCTAGAAAACAGGTAAATGCCATTTTGAGAATGTTCTGTGTACTAGAACTAACAAATGGATTAAAAATTTCATTTGTGTTTTAATTACACCATAATAACACTGATATACCAATGTTTTTAATAATTTCATTTAAAATTTACTTATTCAAATAACACTTCATTGTGAGATTTTCACTTTAAAGTTTACAAACCTGCAACTTGTTTCACAAAAGTTTCTTCAGGCACGTTTGGTATTAACATAACAATTTCTATTGAATGATTTTATATAATATAGGTATTTCAATCTTAATGACCATTACTACTTGATAAATTTCTAACCAATAAATTCACTACATAATAATTTTTGGTTATCCGAGGATTAAACTCATTCAACTGGACATACATACAAAACTACCTGTGACCTCATATTTTTTTAATTGAAATGTACCTTGATTACCAATTTCATAGTTACAGAACAAATTGATTAATTATTGCCATCTATTTGGTAATTGAGCAATAGTTCTGAATTCTTAAATCCATTGATTGCTAAGCATTTCAAAACTCCAACTCGTGTTCCTTTTTCAGAAGACATTTCACAAATGTTGAATTGATCTTCTCTTTTAAAAAACTACTATTTTCTTTTATTCTACCAACTTAGCCAATATGTATTTTGAGACAAGAACCGCAGGTTTTAAAAAATCTGTTTTAAAATCTGTTTTTCCGTTGCTGTCGCACCCCTATGAATGGCAACCCTCAGAAGTCGAAACTTGTGCGAGCTAAAGATTAACGAGATCTTACCTTTTACCGTGTGATTCCTAACACGAGTTGGACGATAGTAAGTGAAAATCAATTGTTCAGCCCGGGGCTTGAACCATTGACCACAACACAATTCGAGTGAGTGAACAAAGCACCCACATCGAACCGACCGGCTACTGACCTACCTAAGTCAACTTATATTCTCCCGAAATATCTTATATTGAAGTTTTGTTCTTATTGCATCTAATGAATTTGCTCAAATTATTATTAATCTTGTAGGCTACATTCAAATCTTTGTTTTTCAAAAATCAAGCTATATTATTAGTGGGTTCACCAAAGTAGGTTATTGTCACATAATGCTTACTATCTATCGTTCTTTGAAATTGAATTGACCTGGCTTGTTTATATAATTTTTTTTTTAATTAAGTCAGTAATATGCACCTCCTCTCGACACTTGTTGATAGCAATTTGTCCAATGAAACTTATTCTCTATGAAAATTGCTTGCAATAGACTGTGAAGCATACTATCGAATGCTGTTATGTATGACAATGACAATGTCTATATAAGATGATTTGTAGAAATCAAGTTTAATGAATTGTACTTACTCCCCAGTATATTAGTGCTACATTTTGAATCCAATGAAAAAATCTGTTTTTTCATTAACCAGCTGTCGCCCCCCCCCTAACGACACCTCGCAAAAGTAGAAACTTGTGCGAGTTGAATACTAACGAGGTCTCACCTTTTAACGTGTGATTCCTAGCACGAATCACTTTTCCACATCCAGGGGATATGGTGCATCTCCAGCTTCAATTTTCTCACCTCTTATTCAACGGTTGAAGTCTCTAGACAGAGGATTTTACAAATTACATGAATATTGCGATAAAACATTGACAACAAAACAACAGTAGAACTGTAATTATTCAATGTCCAACTACCTGGATTGTCAATTACCAAAATTACACTAGTGTTTTTCAATATTTTTTTTCTGGTGTTTCGCTAGCAAAGGTGATTATTATAATATGACAGCCCTAAAGCCCAACATAAGTTATTTCTATACATGAGTGTGAAAGCTTAGCAACTCTTTCAACGACACTCTAAGTCATGACTACAGAATGTCATTGTTGTCAAACTGAACCAAAAAAAATTGTGTGTAGCCTTGTGTTGCCAAGTATTCACAGTAGGCCACTCTTATATTTCGTCTATAAAAAATATCTCCATGTGGCTTTTCTAGTTTTGTAATTTATGACTCAATATTTTTCAAAATTGGATTTGGCCTTCAATAAATTAATAGGAATATTTTAGTAAATATAATCACTGATTGAGTTACTCCTGTCAATACTAATTCTAATAGGTATTAATATCTTCGATAGGGCATGGAACGTAAGGATCTCCTCTCAGCAAATGTGAAAATCTTCAAGGTCCAAGGAGAAGCCTTAGATAAATATGCTAGAAAAGATGTTAAGGTTCTAGTTGTTGGTAACCCTGCGAATACCAATGCTCTGATTTGTTCAAAGTACGCACCATCTATTCCCAGGGAAAACTTCACTGCAATGACCAGATTGGATCAGAATAGAGCTCAGGCGCAGATTGCTGCGAAAATTGGAGTTCCAGTAGGAAATGTGAGTATTGCTACTCAAACTCAACATTTTGAGAGTTAAAGAGTTATGTATAGTAGCACTTTCTCATTCTTATTTGTATTAAGTATGACATTATAGTGGCTTGTAATATATTTGTTGCCTGGTTCATAAAAAAATAGTTCAAATTGAGTTGAGGAAAAGTTATATGAGTAAGTTACTGGTTAATTTCATTTTTATCACACCAATTTGGCAATACAAGAATTTGATTAATGTATTACAACAAATGTAATAAATTCAAAAAAACTTATAATTGAATAGAACTGGCCGATACTTGATGAAAATCCATATTAAAAAACTAATCAATACAGTTTATTGTATGATTTTCACTATAAAGGGTTTTACAAAAACCGCGACACGTGTTTTGCTTCACAATTGCTTCCTCAAGCATAACTTGACTTTTTTTTATTATGTTGGGCTCAAGAAGTTTCAAAATGAAATCTTAGCTCTAAGATTTTTATTTTTCCTATCTCCAGGTGAATAATCTCATAATTTGGGGAAATCACTCGTCCACACAATTTCCTGATGCTTCACATGCCGTTGTTCAGATCGATTCTAAACAGTTGAAGGCTACAGAAGCTGTAAAGGATGATAACTGGATCAGATCAACGTTTGTTGAAACTGTACAAAAGAGGGGTAAGTTCCTTATTGGGTTTCCAGTATTTAGTAGACAGTATAGACAGGTACAAAATTTGTACCTAAATTTGTACATGATGTTTTCCAACTCGAAGACACAATAGAAAGAAATAATTAATAACAAGTATGAATATTTTGTTCCCACCATTGAATATAATAGGTTTGAACATTAATTTTGGAAATTTATTAATAGTAAGAGAAAAAATCCATCTGAAATTATATAATAATATTGAATACTGATTAAATTATTTGAATGTTGACATATTAAAATTAAACAGCAATTAAAAACAAAAATTGTAATATGGAGAATCTCAATTAGAGGAAAAAATAGAAACTTTTTTAATTTTGATTTAAATTTTGTTTTTTGTTATTTATTTTCAGTTTCCCTGGAAGATTATCATGTATTTTGAAGCCTAAATGATTTCTCCCCAAATTTTGAGTGATATGACTCAACTAGTAGTTTTTTTCTTGCCGTCTTCATAATCATGGAACGTATTTATTTGATTGAAATTTAAATTCGAATATTCGTGATTTTTTTCTAACAGAATCAATGAAACAACAAATTGAAACATGTACCGAATATCCAAACGATCATGTGGTATAAAAAAATTTGAAGTAGGTTAACGACTTGGTAATTTGAATATACATTTTATTATTCAATTTTGAGGTCTCTTGTGAAGATTTATCATTGATAAATTAGTTGTTCTCCACATTGAAACTGAATATTGTAGATTCTAATGTACCAAAAAGAAATATACGCATTTATGGTATTTCAACGGAATGAAATTTCAAACTGTAAATGATATTCCAAAAATCCCAATTTTCTTTTTCAACATCTCAATGTGAGTATTCTAACAGAGACTTTCACCAATGTATGTTCCTAAAAATGTTCATGATTTTGTTCTTGGTTATCAACATTAAAGAATACTTTTTTGAATTCAAACTCAATTTATGATAATTCAACCAAGAGGTTAGCGTAGTTGTGTCACCCACATCTGTTTTTCCGTTAACTAGCTTTCGCACCCCTACGAACAACAACCCTCAGAAGTTGAAACTTGTGCGAGCTAAGGATTAACGAGGTCTTACCTTTTAATGCGTGATTCCTAACACGAGTTGGACGATAGCAAGTAAAAATTTATCGGACAGGCTAGGGCTTGAACCACCAACCAACATGGCAGTCAATTCGAGTGAGTGAAAAAAGCACCCATGTCGAAACGCCTGGCTACCGACCAACCAACCATATACATATATAGGAAGAATCGAAATGGGCCTATAATTATTTACATTATTTTTGCTACCAAATTACATGTAGATACTTTGCACATTTTCAATATAAATATGAAAGAAATGAGATGACTGAAATTCATGTAAGACAATGTCCATAATTGTACTATCATTCTGAAAAATGTACTAACCAAGCTAGTTAAATTAGAAATCAATAAGGGTCCTGATTCAAATGGAATACCAAATATCTGAAAAGATGTCGATTAAAACTATCATAGCCGTTATTAGCCCTTTTCTCTTTTCTAGGCTTCGGAAATTTCAAAAGTACTGAAAATTAAGTTTCAGTACTATACCTAAAATCCTTGATGCAACAGTATGTGATGAAATCAAGGATTCAGTCAGTCAAATTCTCATAAAGGAACAATATGGCTTCATTAGAAGTAGGTCAATAACTTCCAAAGTATATACTGCATGCTTTGGAGATGTAATCTATAGTGGTTTCTCAAAAGCATGCAATCCAGTGAATCTTAAAATTGTATGCCAAGAACTGAGGGTAATTGGATTCTGTGAATAACTGCTTTAATGGCTAAGAAGCGATATAGGTAACAGATAACAATTGTAAAAGTCAAAGGATTCATGTCTCAAAAATCAATGTGTTATACGGAATCCATCTGGGACCATCTCTATTTCGGTGCTAATTTCTATATCAAGTATCTCATTTCTAGGTGCAACGGTTATAGCAGCAAGAAAAATGTCGTCTGCCATGTCTGCTGCAAAAGCTGCCTCAGACCACATGAGAGATTGGTTCCTTGGAACAGCACCAGGACACTTCGTTTCTATGGGAGTGGTCAGTGACGGCAGCTATGGAGCGCCCAAAGATGTTGTATTCTCCTTCCCGGTCACTATCAAGAATGGCAAATGGGAAATAGTACAAGGACTCCCCATTGACGATTTTGCTACTAAAATGTTGAACATAACTGGTAAAGAACTAGAAGAAGAAAGACTAGAGGCTATCGCTATTATAGAAGCATGACTAGTCAATAAGCTTTAAAGGGTCAAACTGAAAAAAATTTAATTGAGCAATATTTTTTTGATATTTTCTCTAAAGCAATTCTAGATATTGATTTTTTGCTTGTTGATACCAATTTTTTGAGTAGATGATTCTCAAGAAAACAAATTTGAATGCCTTACTAATCGTATCAAACAAAATTATAATTTTTAATATCTTCAATCTTCACAATTACTTAAACTCTGTAATATCTGTATTGATATCCCACTGACTATTTTTTATACATGAGATCAGTTTTCCAAAGTTTATTTTAGCATTTGCCATGTTCCAATATTTCAATTTAAATATCCTAATATCGATTGGAAGAAACACTACAGTCAATAGTTTTTTGGTTTTACAATTGTCTTCTTGAATACACAAGCCATAATTAAAAAAAGTACTTCGTAATGACTTAAACGAAATGAATAAAAACATTTTTGTCTAAATACCACTGGTAGATTTTATTTATATGACTGGTTTCGGGTTTGACCCCATTATAAGTATAAAACTTGATAATGGGGTCAAACCTGAAACCGGTCAGAAGAATATCTTCATAAACAAGTAGTATCAGTGATGCCATAATGAAAGAATATTCTCAAATAACGATTTATTTGATATTAAATATACTTCATCAAACTCAAGATATTGAATATTTCAAAGGTGTCCTTGAGGTTTAAAATTATAAGGTAATACTGGAACTTTTTGACCTGTTATTAAAAGTATTTTATCCATAATATGAGAAGGGTGACTTTTAGCTATGCTTTGTATATGTTTGTGAGTATTATATTACTTTTTTCGTTTTGTGAAATATGTTCAAGGAAGTTCCTCTGAAAAATAACATGTACCATTTTCATCAACCTGAGAAGTGTGAAAGTGAAAAAGAGAAGGAAAACTCTTTGCGGAATTCCAGTTTTCAGAAGATTAAATGACAAAATTTTAAGTTCCCGTACTACCTTGAACCAACTATTTAAATTATACTTTATGTAATTTGATATACTCATTGTTGAAGGAAAACAAATTTTTTATTATTTGTTGCATATTAAACTTTTATTACATTATGTTATATTAATTCTTTAGTTTGCTTCTTTAAAGCTTTTTGAATTAGGTATGTTTGACATACATGAATATTTGGTGATTGTATTGATTGAAATTTCAAATGGTAATAACCATTTTCATTTTTTTTTTTATATATTTGGCGATGCAAGTCAGCAACAATGACATAGTATGTGCTGTGTCATTTCGAATTTAGGACATAAATTGGTGGTTAGCTTGAAAAAATGTAACTTACTGTGATCACCATAATTCTATGAATTTTTTCGTGTCGAATATATTCGATGATTTATTTCTATATAACATGTTGAGGTGTAGGTAATATATGTTCGATATATCTTTATACATGTAAAATGTAATACATCTCTGTTGAACAATAGTTTTTCAGTTCATTGAAACTTCTCAAATACTCATTAGGAGCACCACAAGGCAATAATTTTCAAATGTATACCAATGAGACACTTCCTTATCGAATTATTCGAAGCTGCCTATTTAACTCTACTAATTTGAAATGTAACAACTCAAAGGATAAATAAACATCAACTGCACTTGAACAAGCATGAGATTTTATCATACAGTTAAAAAAATAAATGGACTCAGCAAACCATTATCTACGACACAGATTATGTTGAAGTTGCTTGATTGGGAAAGAGCAGACCTGCGATAGACTGTGATTTCCTCTCCACTGACAGTGGCGCACAAAATTTAAGAATTACATGATAATTTAAAAAATTGAGAAATTTCATATATTCATGGAGAATTTCGAGATATATATGATGTTTTCATTAAATGTATAATTAATAATCGGTTTATTTGAAGTTCAAATATCAATTACAGAAAGTATTAATTGTATCAGAAGAAAATATGAAGACTGAATACATATCTGGTCGAGGTTCGATTCTCGCCTCGACCAGATATTTTTCTCGAGAGAATTTATCTGGTTGAAGCTGGGATGATTCTGCAACAGTGTTAGGAATCACACGTTAAAAGGTAAGACCTCGTTAGTCCTTAGCTGGCACAAGTTTCTCAACTTCTGAGAGTTGTCGTTCGTATAGAAACGACAGCTGATTAACGGAAAAAACAGATTTTAAACAGATGTTCCTGAGAGGAAATGCCGATCTTAATTCAAATCTCAGAAATAAAAAGTTTCTTCAATACTTATGAAAAATGAACACTTGGCATTGTGAAATAGAAACAGTACAAAAGAGTAAAGAAATGGTTACAAAAAAATAACTATCAGCTTTAGACGCTTGTTTCAGAAATAGATGCTTTTCTATTGCTTTTTGAAATTATGTCCATCGAATTCTTGAGTCGATTTTGAAAAAATATTTGTTTCTACAACATTTTGAAGCCGTGACATTTCCAAAAGAAATACACTACACTTAGAAGTGAGTGTCATTAAACAGAATACAAATTGTGACAAAATTTCACTTTTTTATAGTGACAACTGCACAACAGTGAATCTACTTGCCTGAAAACAACAACTTAACTGACTTATCTTAATAAATTCGTTTTGAAAGAAAACTAATTGGATGAACATCATTCCATAACAATGAACATATGCACGAGAAGGCTATGGTGTGAGTGAGAAAAAGGTATTTTTATATATGGCCTAAATCAAACTCATTTGCGATAAAGTTTACGTCATTGTTGGTGAACATTGAATAATTATTTTTATTATCTCAATAGCATGACCTTAGAATGTTCCGAACGCCGACTTAACTTAACAAGGTGAAATACTGGATCCATTTCTATTTTACTTCCATGGATTTTATTTATGAGCAACTAATTCTACTACTCATTCAATCGACTATTATGTAAAAGTGGTTCGGCCAAGCGATTGATTTTCACTGCGAGCTCACACAAGTTTCCACTTCTGAGGGTTATCGTCAGGGCCCCCGCTACCATATGTGCAAAGTGTGCAATGCACACGGGCGCCATCCTTTAGGGGCGCCAAAAAAAAACATTTCATTAATTTTAATTAAACGATGATGATGATGGACCAATACCTAATAGTTATCGTTCGTAAGGTGACAGCTGGTTACCTGAAGAACAGATTTGATACGGTAAATCCTGAATTACTAGACCTTAAGTTACGTGATATAAGGGTTCACAGTTGCGTCATTTATCTCTGGTTCATAAACTAAATTTTAATCTTATTTTTCATAATTTGACAATTTTCTTCAAGTAATAATGTTAAAAGTTTGATTTATAAACCAGCGATAAAACGAAAACTCATAAGGTTTTATTATTAATGCATTGTATGTCTGAAAGTATTAAATTGAGGTACTTTTGGTGCCATCTGTATTTCAGTAGTTGAAACAAATTTAGTGGATCTTCCAGTGAAATATAGATATTTTCTTCTGATTTTAGTTTCCACAACCAAACAACAGATATCACGAAAGTCAGCACCCGGTTTTGTTTGTTTTTACCCCTTGATTTTCAAGTACTCCTTCCTTTGACCCTTGTTGCCCTAAGCAAACGTCTATAACCTTTTCGATATGTCAAAACCGGGATCAGCTGTGAATTTCTATATGGAATATGATATTTATGTTACGGCAATAAAATTATTAGCCTAGAAAAAGAGAAACTCAAAATGTCTATTATTTGTGAAGAGGTCTTTGATGAAATCAGTATTCCATCTGAGGAAGGTTTGTATATTTTTTAAAAGGACATCGTCAGTTTGGTGCATGTTAAAAAAAATCCTCATTTTGATGCATGTTAAAAAGATGCTTATTTTGAATTTGAAATACATAAATTTTTGTAAATTCAGTGGATATAAAGTCCTCATTAATTTTGTAGAAATAAGGGACTATGCCACCAAAATTGGGATTGATCCCGATTCAGAGCCTCAGTTACTACCTTTAGCAGCAGAAGGATTGATGAAAGCTTTGCCACCTGGATGGAAACCTTGGTAATGTTTAATTTTTTTACTACTTAAAAATAATTGGTTGGTGTGAGATGTTGCTCTGAAAATGATGTCTTTCATGAGTAATGAAGAACAGTTACGGCAGACTCAAACCATCTTGATAAAAATCTAGGAGTTCCCCAAGGCACAGTACTTTGGCCAATTTTGTTTCTTTTTTATGTAAATGAAATTGATACTTTAGCCAGGGATGCACATTTTGTTATTTACGTGAATGATACACACAAACTTCAAACAAAGCTGATGTTATTGCTGAGAAGAGAGAACATTATTGAGTAACATAACTTCATGATGCAGTGCAAAGTTACTTTCATTTGATACAGAAAATGTCCAGTAAAATAATTCCAACCTGTTAGTGTTAGCAACAAAACATCAAGTTCCACTGATTGAATAATATTTTTGGGTATAACTATTGATAAAAACAATAATCGGTTTGCAAAGTCAAACACTCTTTATCCATGATAATAATTATACAATTTTAACACTTCAAATATCATCCAAGATGAGTTTCACTACAAGCACTGGCACATCAAACTATTCTACAATGCTTTTATATAAGTAATTCTGATAAAATAAACAATTTATAAATATGTTAATTCTTGGTCGTTTGAAAGGAAATTTGATGTCTTAGTATATTGACTTTCTGATATATCATCAGGTTCAATTTTTATCCTTTGTTTTCTGTATGTAAAATGTCTTAGTCCATGTTGAAATTGCGTTTATTCTCTAAAAGGTTGCAAGCATAGGTAGAATTTGTTTTCATCAGTTCAAAATTTTTTTTTGAGATTCTTGTTTTGAAGTTCTTTCTATATAAACTCCTAGGCACGATCCACATGTTAATTTGTAGACCCCATATTTGTTATCTTTGTCCATGTTTGACTTGTTCTTTATATGTGTACCCAAAAAGTTTCCAGTTTTGTATGACATGTTGATGTTCTCTTCTATTACTAGTCTTTTTATTTTATCTGACGATGGTCCTGTATAATTGAGTGTTTTGTAGGTGCTAGTGTTATTTTTATTGTGAGGGTTTACTGGGTGATGGCCTTTTTGAAAAGTTTTTTGTCAAGGATGTGATGAAGGGATTGAAGTTGTTTTATGCAATTTGTTTCATCACATTTTATTTCTTATTAAAATTCTCTGTGGACTTCGGGATACTGATGGGTCTGTGAATCATACTATGGTAAGCTGCTAATTCATGTTGATGAGGGTGATTAGAATGTTTATTGATAGTTATGTCTGTATGGGTTGGTTTGTGGTGAAATGCGAAAGCATGATTGTTGTAAATTTTTGTAATTGTGAAGTTGAAAAAGTTTATTGCATTTAGTCAGTAAATGATTGCTGAGACTTCGAGGTATAACTTTTGTCCTCGCAGTAAGCACACATACCACTGATGATGGCTGCCGCAGTAGCAGACGAAACGTTTGTTACTTCAGGTTCCATGCTATCTCGGAAATGGTGAGACCTACAAGGTTGGTTAAAATGGACAGATCTTTGCTATTCTGGGGAACTAGAATAATCACTTTTCAGATGGAGAATATCAGTTGTTGTTTTTGAAATATTCGCCAAAAACTTGAATTGTCGAATTTCGTTTTTTGACTCTACCGCCTTCATTTTGAATGATATAAAAAGTGCAGAGGAACTTTCACTACTGTTTCATTTTTCGTTATAAATTGATATAAACTAATTTGCAATGCGACGTTTTGTTCATTAGATTTCATCGCTAACTTTCGTTTTTTTAAAGGGACCTCTAGTTTTTTTCATAGATTTTTGTAACCACTATAATAACAAACACGCTGCTATCAAATTTTCATAAGTCTTATCTAACAATTTATATTATACATTGGTATATAGCACTATCAGCTGCAACATTATTGTATGGAGAAGGTCCACAGAAACATCTAGAGTCTTTATAATCCAGAAAAGTTCATCACTATGATACCTGATCTTGACCATAGGGAATCATGCAAAAAAAGTATTTGCCAACAATTTTGACACTCACATCTATATAAACTATTGATATATACCTTCATTAACAAAAGAAAACTGAATAAGTACCCCAAATGTTATACCAGAAAACAATTACTTCCATCTCCAATACACTCTCACAGCAAAAAATATTGCCTTCATATGCTGGGGAATACCTATTCAACCTGTTACCTGAAAATATTAAATCAGAAACCGACCGGTCTGTCGGTTTGACGTGGGTGCTTTGTTCACTCACTGAATTGATGCCTGTGGTTCAAGCCTCAAGCTGAACGATAAATTTTAACTTGCTATCGTCCAACCTGTGCTAGGATTCACAAGTTATCAGGTAAGACCTGGTTAGCCCTTAGCTCGCATCAGTTTCGAATCCTGAGGGTTGTCGTTCATAGGGGTGTTACGGCTAGTTAACGGAACAAACATTTTAACATATTTTTTTAAACAGATTTTGAAAAATTAATTGATTTGAGGAGCATTTTATTCCTTAGATGACATCAATGACCCTGGCTAATCTCACTGTTATGTAATTAGGTTTTAATATGTTCAATTCCATGTATTTTCTTATAAATGAAAAGTGATGGTATTGTTACATGTCCCATGTTGTTGTAAACACCCCAGTATTCTAAGGACCCAAAATGCTGTACTCTTCCTAAGTTAGAAGAACTTTGCAATTAAAGCAATGTTGATTTCAAATGATGGCCTCCAATTTTTCATCTCCGTTTATAAGAAATGTTGAGAATTCAAACATACTTTCTCTGAGAATGAAACACATTTTAAGATCTAATTCCTTCAATTTTATTGTCTTGATTGTTACAAATATTTCCATTCGGAATACTTTCAACTTTGTCGCCATCATTGTCAACACATTCCTCGTCACTTAAGCTATCTTCGTCATAGGAATGCTTTGATAACTTATCTTTTATCCATTGCAGCATTTCCTCTCCTTCTATTTCTTTGTTAATAATAGTGGGAAATATATATTTATCTCTGAATTCATTTACTTCATTTTCGACGTCTTCCCAGGTCAGTTTTTCATGTGTTCCATCTTCTCCATACCGAAAGTTATACCTAAAAAATTTGATAATTTATATTCGAGACACCCTGCTCAGTACAAAATAATCAATAGTTTTCCTGTAGCAATAGCCAAGTTAAATTTGGGTTCTCACATCAGTTATGCACTTTTATTTACAATCAAACAAAACTGGTTGGGTAAGTGGTAGAGCTGACATCCATCTATCCAATTCTGTCATCTCAGTTTAGACCTCTCAATTTTTGTTTTAACTGAATAAACAGGAGACACATTTGAGTGGCTGAATTGTATTTCTGGTCTATACTAAGATATGCCAACTCAACCACTATCTCTCAAAAATATACACAAACTCTCAGAATTAGATCAGTTTAGTTAAAGAAGTTTCAACTCGTAAACCTAAAATTATATCATAGATAGATATAGTAATACACAACATTACCTATCATAATGGACATATTCAAGCATAAGTCCCAACCCAGGGGCTCTGGGTATACAAATTTTTTCTGGTTTGAAAGAATTGTGGATCACCTCTTCGGTTGCGAAGCCTCTAACTATAGCTATGATACAACCAACCATTTTCCTGATTTGGTGCAACATAAAACTCTGTCCGTGCACTTTCAAAATTGCAAACTCCACACCCTCTTTCTGAAAAGGTTTCTCGCATACAAATGACTTTATATACCTGTTAGCACTGGGATCATTTGGTTTCTTTTTAGAAGTGTAATTGTGGAAGTTTTTTGTTCCTACGAAAATTTTCAACAGGTCGTTTATTCTGTTGTAAGTTTCATCATTCAATCGATAGTCTTTCTGAGATACTTCCTGATCATGTGGTGCAAATGCAACTGTGGGAGTCACATAAATATATGTTCGACCGTCACATTGGGATTTACTGTTGAAGCCTTTCGTTACTCTTCTGTAGGCAAATACTCTTATGACTTCTGGAAGTTCTGCATTGATTTTTGCCAAGTCAATGTTTTCGCCTAATTTTAGAGATACTATTTGTCGAGCTGCTGATACTCCTAATAAATAAACATAATTTAGTAATCATTCATGTTTCTGACTCACACTATTTTTTGAAATATTTCAAATGGAATATCGATTTACTTTCGAAGATACTGCTGAACAAAAATTTTAAATATTAATAATCGACTATTTGCTGATATATCACCACGTCTATAGAGTTTTTGTTATCATCAATTGTCTAAATGACGAAGGTTAAAGTCATGAAATGAAAATTATGTTGCCAAATTTGGAAAATTTTATAAATTTTATTTGAGACGCATTTCGCGCTACACAGTAGCTTCGTTAGACTGGTACATCAAACTATTACATACCAGTGAGTAATTACAAAACTCAATTAGATAAATGATGAGAAAGAAAGTTTTTGGCTTTCTACTACTCCATCTGATACAAAAAAATGGATGAGAGAATCTTCCAAAGAAAGGAAGGAAGTAATCAATTTGAAAATAAGTAACTCTATACATGGATGTGTAGATCATGCAAAGAAGTAACTTTTAGACACAAACTGAAAGAAAGTCCTCCTGACACAGCTACTTTCATATAAACATTGAATTACATGAAAGAAAAAAATTCTTTCGAAACAAATACTTCTATATGAACACTGAATTATACAGAAGATACTTTTCTCTATTCAGTTTGTATATCGAACATTTGTTGAGGAATAAGAATCAGATATCATTCACATGAGTTCTACTTTGATTTTTTTTTTTTTTTGTATCAAATGGAGTAGTAGAAAGCCAAAAACTTTCCTTCCCAAAAATTAATCACTCCTAAAAATATAACCCTTTCAAATCAAATAAATGATGAATTCTGATAAAACAAGTAGATTGTAAAAAAACAATTACAATACAAAATTACTTCTAGGATAACAGGTAAGTAATTTATAAATATGTTAATTAGTGACATTTCATAAAAATATGTTTGAATCTCAATAATTGGCAGGTTCAAATTACCTGTTTTCCTAGGAAGTAATTTTGTTTTGTGATTTTAATTTTAAAATCTTCTGTTTTGCCAGAATCAATCATTTATCTATTCAAGTTTTGACATAAAATGCCAAAATTTTATCTATTTCACCAGAATCAATCATTAATTTTTATCAAATAACAAACAGGTCAGTGAATCGGAAAATTTTATTTAGTTTCTTCTTAGAAGAACTTGCGAATACAACTTGTCAATTCAGCCTGCTTTAAATTGAATTAGCACACAACAAACCTAGCCATATAAATTTATCAATATAACATTCATTTTTAGTTTAATTTTGAAACACTGACAATTGAATGTAGTTTTTTGAGGCAATCAAAAGTTTTGTATGGAAAAAATAGAAGTGACAAGAGAATAAAGGTCCACAGCATTTTTGAAAGGAAATATTTGGTTCTCCCAATTTTTTTAAATTTTTCAAAAACTAGAATTTGTAGTTCTACTTTATACTGTGAACAATAACCAACAAACCTTTATCTGTCCGAGCAGCCCTTTGAAACTGCATATTTTGCACTTGATTGTAGCATTCTTCATTGATCAATTCAGTCTTTAGTAAAGCTTTGAATAAGTCTTCTTCGATCGTCTTAGTATAAGGATTTCTTTGCATCCCGTAGTAGTTGTCTCCCGAGTATCCCATAAGTAGACAAAACTTTCTACGTTTCACTTTGTCAGGCTTTGTGTCTTGAGTTACATTTTGATTTTCTTCATTCTTCTGTTTCTTAGGACCGATATTCAGTCCCTCGCCCTTATCTGTTCTTCTGTCTTCCCATTGTCTTTTCTTTGACCGACCATCGTACTTTTGTTTTTTAATAGGTTTTGTGTCAGACATTTGGGAAGGAAAAAGAGATGATACTTTTATGAGGGGTGATTTGGGTATCGATTCTGCTAACGTAAAGATGCCCCTGACAATATTTTGTGACCTGAGAAGCATTACCTCCGGTTGGGTGAAAATTATTCAATGTAGTTATTTTATCAAAATATGTGCATATTGAACATAATTCTATGTTCCGTTACGATTGCAACAACATATCACGTTCATTAGCTAGGTTAACTTTACATTTAAGTGTGTCATAAAAACGCAGTGTTGCCAACGCGATAAAGTTTGTTAGCGCGTCCAAAATCCTCAAAATCCGATTGCACAAAACATAAAGTAACAGAAGAGTTAGTTTGAGTAATCCATTTTTGATTGTGTGCACAAAAAAGTGCAAAGTGTGAAACTGAATCGTATTATTCCGACATATTTTTAGGTAAAACTGATCTGCTAAAGCAAAGTGGTAGGGCACAAAATGCGCAGATTGTGCGAAGACAATGAAAATACTCATTTTTTGCGCTTTATTGATAATATTGATCTAGTGTCAAATGCCAAATTAATTTGTTTTATTCAGTGCATCCACTCATTTTTCGGAATGAAGGAAATTGATTGATTCAGCGGTGAATTCACTCTTTGGGCCATTTCTAACATTCAAGATTCTCATTAATAATGCACATTGAACAGTGCTGAATGATCTCACGTGGTCATTTAATAGGGTTAATTTTTCAATATTAAACTTTGCAGAATACAGACTACAGAAGGAAAATATATAATTTTTATAGGATAATAAATTTTAAACGTTCAGTACTGCAAACTAGCAGAGAAATGAAAAATTGTACTGAGAATCAGTAATCAATCAACAAATGTACTCATGATCGTACGATATGTCTGGGTTTTCGATTTTATTCCATCGGTGGTGAGCGTGGCTTCCTTCCTATTGGCTGAATTCAATTATCTGATTCGTGGTTTTTCGGCTGCAAGGCCATTTCTTCGAAGTTTTCCATGAAAAAGTTTAACACTACAGGAATAAACGGGCGGTACCATTCGTTTCTTCATATAAAACGTCATAGAAAAATACGTCGACACTAAATAACGAGCGAACAAGCTTGTTATGTCTAATAGGAATACTGTGCTAGTTAGCCGTATAGTCTCTTTGATCGGAACCATCGTGTATAAGGAGACCACGTCGAAGCTCACTAGTGTATCCCCTGATCCTAACCTCATTTCACTATCTTTCGAATAAAATGACCTTGAATGACTTTGTTTTTCCTACAAGCGGCTGAAGTACAGTCAGCTCATAAGTTGATAAACCTATTGCATTCATCATAGGTCTAATAGAAGAGTCTTGGATTTTTGTAGGAGTATTTTGCATATAGTGGCTACCACATAAGAGGTAGATATATGCTACCGCGGACTTTTATTTAGAACTATTCAAGATAAACAATCTTACGGTACATTATCTGCATGTAACTCCAAAGGTATAAGCAAAGTACGCCAAAATAGCTCTCAGGGAGCAAGAATTTTTCCGACTTTAATACTTATCGTTATATTTTGACCAAAATTACACAATTGTGAATTGTAGCCTATATGTATAAGCTGTATTTATGTAAAGTTTCATCTAAATACGTTCAGTCGTTTAGGCGTTAAAGAGCCACAAAGTACACATAATGTACATACATCCATCCATAGAAACTTTCAAATTCATATTAGTATTCATTGTAAAATTTAATGTGATTATTATTATATATAGAATGTTTGATGAATACTGATATTCATGATTATAAGGAGTGTAAACTAATTTAATACTTCATCATTAATTAGAGGCTCTTCTAAGAGTAACAATATACTAACTATATATTTTTCTAGAAGACCAAATTTCAAAAACATATGTTGATTTATATTTTTACAGCTATGATGATAAATCGAAGTCCTACTACTACTACAACAACTTGACAAAAAAAACCCAATGGGAACATCCGTTGGATGACATTTACAGAGGCTTAGTTAAAAAGGCTAGGACGGAAAGTCAATCTTTCAGTCTACAAGATAATAGAGAAGATATGACTTATGTAACTGATGACATTTTGAGTATGGATGAGCAGCCTATTCTGAACATTCCACCGAAGAAGTTGGACTCGCTTCCTCTAGGTAACAATACTTTTTGTTGCATGATGAGATTTTATATATCTCCAATGCATCTTAAAAACAGAACTTCGTTGTTATGTTCATACAAGTTGAGGAAGTTAACTGCACAAAAAAGTATACAGGGCTTTTCATGATGAGCGTTAATTAGCCGTTTCTGACAAACTATTCAACGGATCAACCTGAAAATTCCACAGTATGCATAAGTCAATATGACCTACACGCCTGAAATATTTTAGACGAAGCGGCGTTGTCGATTCTCCTATAAAGTAGCGGCTTCTTTGATTTTTCAAATGGAACACCCCGTATATAATATCATATTATGATTCATTATCACTTTGTCAACAAATTCATATACTTTTTTCCTATACCTATCTATTACCGATGGTTGAGGAGTATTTTAATAATTATCTTTTCATTGTAATATCTGTGACTAATTGAGAAACATCAAACGAAATCTGGTTTACAAAAATGAGTGATGAACAAGGAAAACATGTCAATTTCCGTTTGAAACAGTTTATCTCGAAAACGGTTCAAAATAGAAATAGTATTATCTGAACAAAGTTAATCTAAAATTGGATGTAGAGCTCAAAAATGTTGAAATATACAGGGTTTTCCATTTGAAAAAATTGAGTTCCACTCATTTTTTCATGAGATCAAAGTATCTGCATTTTTTGAAGACCCTGTATGAGGCAAATGAAAATATGACTCGGAGTGAAGATCCTCATAGTATCCACTCCACTCCATTTCAAATTTGATCGTTTTAGTGCAAAAGAGTTCAAGATTATCAGCATTTATAAAAGTTCATGTTTGGTAAAAAAAATATCGAAATCAATTTATATCTTCTAAACGGTAATAGATAGGTATAGGGAAATAGTATATGAATTTGTCGACAAAGTGATAATGAATCATAATATGATATTATATATGGGGTGTTCCGTTTGAAAAATGAAAGAAGCCGCTACTTCATAGTAGAAGCGACAACGCCGCTTCGTCTGAAATATTTTAGGCGTGTAGGTCATATTGATTTATGCGAAATTGTGTGAAATTTTCAGGTTGATCCGTTAAATAGTTTGTTAGAAACGGCTAATTAACGCTCATCATGAAAAGCCCTGTATATAGAATGAAAATTGTATTGGTACAGTCTGACACATCGATTTAGTTTTGTGAACGCCCACAGCGGCGTTGAAGTGGATTAAAAGAGCGGGAATATTTGAAATATATACAGTGTGTCAATTTGAAAACTTCCCACCCTCAATATCTCCCTTCCAGTACATAATATGAAAAAATGGTCAGACAGGTCAACTTTATTTGCAAGGGGGACACTCTGAATGAATATTTTCAACCCTCGGGGTTCAACCCCCTAGGAGGGGTGGATGTTACCCTCAGAATTTCAAATGGAAAGGGGGGTCAAGTGGCACATCATTTTGAAGGGCATTCAATTC